CCAACCGCAGGCAGGAGCAGGCAGAGCTCGCTCCCCAGCCATGCTGCTCCCGTCAGCTCTGGGACACTGGCACACGTCGCTGTCGTGCAGACCGTACCTGACACACCAGAAGCTCAGCTCTCCTCCGGGGGAAACTCTGGCTGGAAAGAGAACAAACCCCTGGGCAGTGAAACCGCTGCCTGCGGTGAGCCCGAGCCAGGAGCAGCCGTGCCCGTCTCCGGGGGAGGAAGCACACAGCCGGCACGTGCCCAGCGCGGGCACTGCTGCACGGCCAGCAGCGAGCAGCCATCGTCACCACTGAGCTAAGCTGCTTCTGGTGCCTGTGACACAAGGCTGCTTCCAGGCAGCGGGGAGCATCACGTCCCTGTGCCTGTCCCCACCCCTGCAGCTGCACTGGCCAGCCCATGGCAGGCCCCTGCTCTCACCCCAGCACTTGCCCTGGCCCGGAGCAAGCAGCCCCTTGGGACACCTCCCTGGGGCCAGGGCAGGCAGTGCCTCGGACCTGGCTCTGCCCATCGGGGCTGCAAACGCAGTCCCTGGTCCCGTGCTGGTGGTGCAGGCGAGCGCAGCTCGGGCACATTTGGTTAATGATGGGGCCTCTTTCTACGCCCCCAGTGCTGCCCTGGACTCCCGGCGAGTTTCCCTGATCCCACCTCACCCCATGCAGCAGCCCCGGCCCTGCCCTCCCCCCTGCACTGTTCGACTGTGCTTAATAATATTTTCATGACTGTTTTAGACCCGCACTCTGGGAGTCTCGGGGGATGTTTGTGCATGACATCACCCTCCCCCTCCCGTAAATCAGGCACTGGGCCGTGCATAGCCATGACCCATTCATGACAGGGATAAAATCCAGATGTTCCAGTGCTACGTGCAGCTGGGTCATTTCCTTTTTTGGCTAAAAACGTGAGGCTCTTGAGGCTGACTGAAAGAGGAGCCCGGGGGCCCTTTGTACAGAAACCTTTTGTGGTTAATCCCTGGAAACAGCGCTGCAGAAACAAGGGCTTGTGGTGCTCCTGCTGGAGGACGGCTCAGCTGGAAACCTCCCAGCCTGGAGCTGCTCGCTCACCCTTTGAGGCCGAGCAGCAGAAAAGCAGAGCCTGGCGCAGGTCACAGGGCAGCAACAGCAACAAAAATCTTACTTTAAAAACCCCGTTAGCTGCCAGAGCAGGAGCCTTTGAAGAAGCCAGGAACGTGCACGCAGAGAGCCAGTGCTGTGGCCCACTCGGGCCCCACAGGCTATGTTTTTTTTCTTGCCCCCAGAGCAGCCCCCACAGGAGCCGAGCCACCGTGCAGGGGGAACGGAGTGGGGTGCTGGGGGCGGGGGCAGGCAAGCCCAGAGGAAGTCGTGGCAGCTGTTAGTAAATGTAAAGGAATCTGCGGAAAATAGTTTCAGATGTTAGCGGAATAAATGGCTCCCCAGCTGATAAAAGTGAGTAATGAGCACGCACTGCTTCGGGGAAGGCTGCCAGAGGAGATCACTGTTACCCCGACTGGAGACTACAGCAACTTCCCCACCAAATCTCCTCCCAAGAGCCTACGTGTGCGGACTGGGGAGTATGTATTGCAGGGGGAAGGAAGCTTGTCTGCACAGCAGGATACGATTCGGTATCACAGCGATCCAGACCAGCTCCCAGGGCAGCGCAGCATCCTGGCTGCTGCTGAGCCCAAGCCGACAGCCAGCCCGGAGGCATCGCGCGCATACAGCGCTGGCACCGGCTGAGTCCTGCTCAGGCCCATCCTGCAGAACAGCCTGCCCGGACAGACAGCAGGCATGGACAGACAGGCAGCCCCAGCACCAGGAACCCACCGCAGCCCCACAGCAGGAGGAGGGAGCTGCTGTTCCTCTGCCATAACCCATGGGACTGGTACAGCTGATGCTGGGCATGTGGTTTGGGGAGGGGGAGGCATGAGCACTGGGGGGATGAGCCGTCCCCAGTATGGGATTAGGGGCGACGACAGGGCTGAGCACAGAGCTGCAACACTGATTCAGACAGCACCCTGCCCTGTGCCTGCTGTTTGAGAAACACATGAGAGCAAGCATCACTAAAACGGTTTATTATATAAAGCCATAGGAAATACACAGGCTGAGGTTTAGGACACTTCCTTCTAGAGACTGCTCCAAGCTCCTCAGAATAGCAAACACACAAACTCTGATTTGCCTGCACCAAAGCTTTCAAACGAGGGTTCAACAAGGATCTGAATACAGAGTTAATAACACTTCAACATGCATAACATTTTCTGTTCCTAAGTGAAGCCTGGGGCGGGGGGCTAGCCCCTTCAACCTGCAGTTGGTTACAAAATGACAGATATTCATGACAAAAGAGTACAAAAGGAAAAAAAAAACATAAGAAGATGCTTTCAGAAAAATGGCTGTCTAAGCAGGAAAGCAGGGTCAGCGTAAGTGCCCCAGCAAGACAGAAGCAAAAGGGATGCAGAAACAAGGCAGGCATGAGCATCCCACTGCAGAGGGGCCTTCGCGGGGCCCAGGCCAGCTCAGCCATCGGGCAAGGCTGGCTCAAGCCCTCGTGTGAGTCTGGGATAGCTCAAGATGTCCTGTTTTGCACAGTTAGGGCAACACAGGGACTTGGGAGATGCAAAGCCCCTCCTCAGGGCAGCCCAGGTGCCACCTTTGCTTTGCTTTTGTGTGTGTTTGGGACAGCGAGGGACGAGTGTGGCCAGGGGAGCCGCCGCTCTCTGCCCGCCACAGGGGGGGACACTCAGCCCTGGCAGACGCAGGTTGTGGACACCCCAACTGCCCCCTCGGCTGACCCCCGCGCTGGAGCCCTGCCTCCCGCAGACCCTCCCCTCAGCGCTCCCAGCAGCCACCGAGCGCAGCCACAGCCTGTGGGCAACGCTCCCCACCCTGAATTAAGGGAAGGTCTTTAGTGTTACCTGTGCTGCTGGCAGCTGGGCTCAGTAAGGCAGTCCCCGTCCCGTGGTTCCCCAAGAGAGGGATGGAGCAGGAATAAAGCCCTTGGTGCTCGCAGCCTTCAGCACGCCCTTCTCCAGGGCTCAGCCAGGCGCATCTCAGGGGGGACCACCAGCGGGCCAATACCCACCAGCTCCAGCTCAGACACTGCAGAGGCAGCCGTGGGAGACCACAGCACAGATGGACGGGAACAGGGCAGGGAAGTGGTGGGGGCAGAACGTCCGGTACCTGCGAGCAGCTTGAGCTCCTCATCCACATCTGAGTGAAAGCACTTCCACCAAAGGGTCTGGCCCACAAATGGTGAGGTGGCTACAGAAATCCGGAGGTGGATCCCATCTGGCAGGACACATGCTCTTCTTCTGGCAACGCTCCAGCCTGGTGTTCCAAACCTCACAAACGCGGCAGAGAGCACCCTTCATGCCCGGGTCGAGCAGTGCCACAGGCCAGCCGCACGTATGGAAAAGGCTGCGCTGCAAAGCCATCCACTGCGCAGGCCAGCACGACCAAGCCACATGGACCAGGAACTGCTGCCTTATATCACACAGAGCAAAGGAAGCATATGGGGAGAAGAGAAAAGTCATCACTGTACCAAGGGGAGCAAATACATGCTGCCAGCGTGCAGATCGAGCAGCCCAACGCTGAAGCTGCTGCTGCTGCCCTTTGCTCAGCTGGGGCCCTAGGCTCAGCTCGTGCCTGGTCAGACAGGAAGCAAAAGGAAAGAGTAAATAATGGGGGGTCTGGAAGCTCCTTTTTCAACTTTATTAAGCTTTGACTCTGCACAGAGCCATAGCATAGCGTACTCTAGCCTTCAGGGAGGGGCACAGGAGCCCCTGGAACACACCGCGGTTCGGGGTCAGCCCCCATCTCTTGTGCCTTGTGCCCTGCCCCTGAAATGTTGTTGGAGTATCTGGCACAAAGACCCTGAAGAATAGAGAAAGCCCCTGCCCCACGGTGTCCTTGGAGGCTCATAGGTCGCTGCTGCAGTCGCGGCACAGGATCTCATCGTTGTCAGGGATGAAGCCTTTCCCGACCAGCGAGGTGTTGCAGCGGGCGCAGTTAAAGCAATTATGGTGCCAGTGACGGTCCTCAAAGGAGACATATTTACCACCGCCAAAGCCTACGGGAGGGACAGAGTGCAGTGTTAGAACCTCTGGGAAAGAAACTGGGACGAGCTTCCCACGCAGACCAAGTCTTGACCTGTTCATCTCCGGGACAGGTCTTCACAGGCAGTGCTGCACTGTGGCACCCAAACACCCCCCAGTATCAAATACATCTGAAATACGAATTCTACTCTAGAGGGGAAGAGGACCAAGATGATTTCACAGCCCTGGTTGCAAGGTTGAGAACCTTGGACCAGAATCACCATTTTCTCCCCAGAGAGGAGCAGGGAGCGGAGCTGCACCGTCACGCAGCTGTCTGGAGCTCCTGGCAGCAGTGCCTGGAGCAGCTCCTTCCAAGGACAGTGCTAGCGAAATGCTGGGAAGAGCCCTCCTGCCACCAGCCCAGGCCACGTTCCTGCAGAGGCTCCGTGGGCAGCTTCCTTCCTCTGCCGGCAGTGGTTGGACTTGCGGGCTGTGACCCCCTTCTCCCTGGGACTGCGACAAACTGATAAGGACCAGACGGGAAGCGGGATGCCCAGGAGCTGCCCTGTCCTCAGCCAGAGTCATCCTCTGAGTCACGAGTTGATTCATGGCTTTGCCTGCTTTCCCAGCAGCGAGAGACAAGAGTTGCAAAGGGAAAGGTCAAGTCGGGGAGGACAGGGAGGAAGCCAGACCCTCTCAGGGGTTTCTGCAGAAGAGGACCCCCTGCTTTCCCTGTCTTAGGTACAACAGGTCCAGATTCCCCTGCAGCAGCTGCTCCTCCAGCTATGGCTGGAAGTCTCCGGCTTTCCCTGTCTGTGAACAATCTTTCCACAGGACGTGGCAACCAGCCTCAAACAAGGCAAGCTAGAGACAGGAGATCACGCTGTGAGAGGTCATTTTGAGAGCCTTTACCCCTGGGCAGAACGAATTCCTCCCAAGGGGCACAGTTCGCTGCTTTGAAAGATGCAGATGAAGGGACACAAGTGGCCCTAGGTCCACTGCAACAAAGAGATTCTTTCTCATAGGGTTCCTCAGAACGCGGCTGCTGTTGTTTCTGTGGGAGACGTGCCTGAGGGCACCTTGCACTCCCCAGTATTTGTCCCCAGGAGGCCTGAAATGCCTGCAGACACTTGAGCAAGCCTGCATGGTGGAGACATGTATGAGCATCATATACGTGCACTCGAGGGGGCAGCTTCACCCAGAGAAGTCAATGCATGTCTGGAAACAAGGCAGGTAGGTCATGCCCTGCCCTGCGGAAGCGCCCTGTAACCAGGGCCGTTCTGCTCACCTGTGATGGGCTTTGTGCAGGCGCTGCACTTCTTGGCATAGAGGTTCCCAAAGCACTTGATGCAGTATGGGTTGTCATCCTGGGAGGTAAACTGCTGGCCAGCCAGGGGGGTCTTGCAGCCCGTGCAGACGAAACACTCCTTGTGCCATGGCTCATCCCGGTAAGTCACTCCTCCCTTGGTCAGGGTCTGTGGGAAGAGAGCGCACACTGGTGAGACATGGGCATGGGAAATGGGTCGCAGCGCACAACCAGTGGCTAGCCAGGGTGCTGGCGCCTGAACCCTTCTCTGGTGGGGCTCAGACAGGAGCGGGGAACATGTCCCTGGACTGGAGAACTCAGGGGCTTTGGGCTGTCAGGCCAGACATACCTTTTTACAACGAGTGCAGCGAGGAGCAAACTTGCTCTCATAACAGGGGACACAGTAATAATCCTTCTTGTCTGGGATGAAGGATCGTGACCCGATGGGCTGCTGGCAGCTGCTGCATATGAAGCAATGCTCATGCCAGGTTTGTCCGTTGTACTCCAGCTTACGGGATCCTGCAGAGAGAGCCGTTCACGGTGTGACAGGAGGGAGCAGCACACGCACACACAGGGGACATAGGAGGCTGTGCAGGATAAACTGCAGTCCTGCACACCCAGCTCTGTGCCTGCCATCCCCATGGCAGCACGGGACCGCAGGCAGCTGGAGAGGGGACGCCCCAGGCCCACCCCACAGCCGCAAGTGGAGGGCTGCGGGAACATGCCCCCAGCACCAGCACACAGGCCGCGGCAGAGACGTCTGTTGTAACCTACATCTGAAGATGGTGCCAGAATGGCCGAGCAAAGACACTCCCTTGCCTCAGGCCATCTCCAGAGTCTTTCAGTCACTCCTTCTCTTCTCATCAGCACACACCAGAAAATGCCCAGGAAACCCTCTGTTATCTCCTCCCAGCTCACTTCCCCAGGAAAAAGGGGAACAGACAGACAGCTGCTGTAGTGATCACAGCTCAGGATCCTGCTGTCTTGCCACACAAGCAAAGTGCCCGGCCCACTCTACGCAGTGACAGTGGGGCAGGAGAGCAGAAATTCAGCTCTCTTCCTTGCTGCCCTAGTGTTGGGTCCTGCAGCCCCGGCCAATGCTGCTGGGACCAGGAACAAACTGCAGTGCTCACTCCTGGCAAAGTGCCTGCTCCTACCTGGCATGACTGTCTTCTCGCAGGCAATGCATTTGGAGGAGAACTCGCTGCAGTAGCAGTCATTGCACAGCAGCTCCTCGCCTTGGCAGGTGAACGGCTCGTCAGCCAGAGAACGGTCACAGCGGAAGCAACGAAAACAGTGCTCATGGTAATGGCGATCCTCGTAGTACAGCTCCTGGGGAGGACAGCCGAGATGAGGAGGGGACCGATTGCCCCAGAGAACCGCCCTGCCCGGCCGCGGGGTCCCATACTCACTCTGCAGTCGTGGCCGATCAGCTCTTTGCACTCATCACAGGTGTTGGCAAAGTGGGCGTCATAGCAGGGGATGCAGTATGGGCCGTTGTCCATCTGGATGTACTTGCGCCCATACAAGGACTCCTTGCAGTTGTCGCAGTCAAAGCACTCTGTCATGGTGCCAGTCTGAGGGCCTCCTTCACCTGCTAAGAGATCAGCAGAGATGCTGGATCAGTATCAGCTTACACTGCCTGAGATGTCCCTGCACAGCCCGGCCATCTCCAGAGGACAAGGACTGCGAATCCCTGCACTGAGCCAACAAACAGCCGCTATCTGGACAGGACACAGACCTGAGCTGCTGCACCTGCTCTGTGGCTGTACACACTTCCAAAAAAGCCTGCACACATTCAGGACCTGGGATGCATCTGTCTTCAGATGCATGATCTCTCCCACTCAGAGAAACCTAGACACATAAGAATGCAGTTGAGCTTCTTACTGTCTGCCTTCTTGCTGGGAAGCAGTGTGTAAACGATGACCAAAAGAGAGAATTTTTTTGCATGAAAAGTTTTGATTTGGCTCCAAAAACAGGACTGTGCACATGCTGTGTGGGTGCACATCCACCATCACATCAGAGAGCCAGCCACCTTGAGGGAGATCTGTCTGCCAAACAGCCCTTCAGAGACCCACACTCAGCCACCAGCATGGCCCTGGACCAACGGCAAGATTCCTCCTGACAGCCTGTGAGCTGATGCTCTGCCTGACAGGGCTGTCAGCATTTCAAATTCTGGAACTTCTCCAGAACTTTAAAGCAGCTGCTCCACAGGGAAGCAGAAATCAAGCACCCCATGCTGTGCCCAGCTATGAAGCCACATCCCAGCAAACGGTTTTGCACATGTTGCTCCAACTACAAACACTCTTTAGGGAGAAAGTGTTGGGGAGGGTGGATGTTTTACAAGCAATAGAGGTGTTGGGGTTTTGCACACAGGAGATCAAACGTCTCTCGTTACCCCTTGTCTCCCTCTCAGACAAGGGGTTTGTGGAACTATTTTGCTTTCTTTGGAGCACTAATTCCAGAACAAGAGTATCTTTCTTCTGTTTGGTTTAACCTGGTTATTCCTAAATATGGAGTTTTCCACTTGCAAAATCACACCCTTCTTTAATACAGGTTGCTATCAAGTGTAGACAAGCCCATGGAATTACATCTGAGCAGTCAGCTGCAGAGTGCCACATGCTGCACTTTTCTCCATGAACCCACCCACTTCAGAAAGAGCTATTATGGCTCAATCTACAGTTTAGCATTTAGTGGGGCAGGGAGCTCACCGCCACCCTCTGCGCCTCCCTCCGCGCATGCTCCCCAGCGGCAGCGGCCGTCTCCCTTAGGCTGGGAGGCAGCCTCCAGG